GGGCTCAACGCGCCGCTTCCCTTTTGCAGTGATCCCGACAACGTCGCTTTCTGCGTGCTGGCCACGGACGAGGAGGACGAGGGGGACATTGCCCTGCAGATCCACTTCACCCTGATCCAGGCCTTCTGCTGCGAGAATGACATTGACATTGTGCGGGTGAACGACGTGGCCAAGCTGGCGGCCATCGTGGGGCCCAGCGAAGAGTCCGGGGAGCCGCGGGACCTCCACTGCATCCTCATCACGGTGGGTGTCCCGCAGGAGGCGAGCTATGCTCAGTCGGGGTGCTGTCCTCCGGGGCTCTGCCTGTGCTACCGGCCCCTACACGGCACGGTTAGAACCTTGCAGGGCTGGCCCTATCTGCCCCTAGTAGCCAAATGCTCTTCCGGGCAACGAAAGAGGGCTTGGCACACACCCTATAGCAGATCAGCTGAGGAGGAGGAGGAGTGGTAATAAGCTGCGCTTCTCGTAACTCTGGATTTTCTCTGTTGTCCACAAGGGTAGCATCTCTGCTTCCTGCTTTGTCTCTGTCAGGACAGAAACCATCTGAAAATGCCTTGCTTCCCAAGCTAATGCCTCTGCAAATATTGTGATGGCTTCAGCTGGTAGGCAGCACTCATAGTGTGCAACTTTTTTCTTTCTGGCAGAATCCGAATGAAGATGGCTGGAAGGACCCAGCTCTAGAAAAGCTGAACTTATTTTGTGAAGAGAGACGAAATGTCAATGACTGGGTGCCAACCATCACCCTGCCTGAGTGATGGTGACCCAGTGCATTGGGGAGGCTGAAACCTTTGTTGCATTGTCAACGTGGCATGGGTTCACTGAAGTGTGCAACAAGCTGCTGATTCCATGGATTAGCCTGGTCAAGAGACTGGATTAAAGTCACTCAGACTGGCATGCCGCGGGCTCTTATGGAAGAGAAAGAGGAGAACCGCTCGCCTCACCAGTGAGCCTCAGTAGGCTGCAACCGCGGAGGGGCTGACATACCGTGGAACTGAAAGAAGTATTACAAGTTTCCTGGTCAAGTGGAGCTGTTTCAGAAGGCAGAGAGAAAGTTGCGGGAAGTGGGCCAAAACTTCCCAGAAGGACTGTGCAGAGTACTGTAACTGGGAACTGTTAGTGCTCTTTACAAAACTCAGAAGAAAGTGTCGACATTTGATGGACTGCTAGGGACTGGTTACTAGGGCAAATACAGAGACTCCAAAGTGGACAGACTTCAACAGGCCTCTTGGGTCACTTTGCAGAACTGTTTTAATAATGCAATAATTTTTATTGAAATATTTGCTATTGAAGCTTTCATAATAAATTTTTTACAATTCTTTTCTGGGAGTGTCTTGCTTACTGGGCGGGGAAGCATGTGACTGAAATACCACTGATGTTTTGCTTGTGTGCTGTAGTCAAAGGTATACTCAGCAGTAATGGAGCTATTGCTCAAACACTTTCTCTCCTGGGCCATCTGAATGAAGAGCTGTGCTGTCCAAGTTGATAATTCAACCTTTCACCCTCTTGCAACAGCTGCTTATCACAACAGCTTGCAAGACTAAGAAGCTGCATGCTTAATGAGCTCACTTATTGTAATAGATGGTCTTTGTAGTCCTCTGAAGGAACACAATACATGTTAAACATGTATTTTTGGAATACAGACCTCCAGTAAATTGCATCATTAGTTTTTAAATATGACTTGGGCTCATTCAGAGCTGCAGTGTTCCCACTTGACAGAAGCAGCTTAAACATGATTGGGGAGGGGGTGGTTGGGGCTGCAAAACTCCTTAGATGTCAGATACATCTAACATTTGCTTTGATTAGAATGACATTAAATCTAAAACTAGCTAGTAGTGAATAAACATCACATCTGCCACAAGCTGCTCTCTGATTGCCATATGCTGTAACAATAGAAGCTGTCACTCCAGAAGCCAATTTTGCAAAACCTAATTGCATGACAACTCCAAATTAAGTCCAAAACATCTTAAGGATGGTGTGCCCTTTTTTATGGAAAGCTAATATGAGCAGACTGATTTGCCCCTATGTTAAAAGGAAAAATGTCACCCCATTTCTGTGCACAGTCTGTATGTGTGCTCTCAGGCTTGACACTAAAGTGGCATAGTAATGATCCATTCTCCAAGAAGCAAGAAAGCTAAATAGCTCACTTCCTCTATAGACACTAAAAATACTCAGTTATCACAATTACATTTCCTCTAGGCTGGCTGGCAGTGATTGACAGTAGCACTTGCTGAAAAGTGGTCATTTCTACATGGGGTATCTTGAACACTTGAGGTTTCTGGGAAGCTGCTTGCTCTCGGTTTCATTGTTCCTGATAAGGGAAGTTCAAATTCAGCTCCAGCATTCCTGGAATACGCTCCCTTGTAAAGGAGGTATCTAGCACTGCTTGGCCTTTGTTGCTGTGTTGTGAGGAGCTGTAGGATGGCAACATAGCCAGAGTTCAGGCTGAAGTAAAAACCATGGGGGCCTCAGGCCTCTGCAGGTATTCCTTCTTGTGCTGAAGATACAGGAGTTGCTGCACAACCTGTTTTTCTACTCAGCCTGCACTCATCAACTGGTCTGCTCTAGGACTTGGAGAAAAGTCACAGAGGAGCTAAGACAACAAGCAGATTTGGCAGCTGTGATAACAGAAACTACTTTTAAGGCTATTGCCTTGATATATAGAAAATAACAAGTCTGGATGCTTCATTATACATGTTTGTATTTTTCCCTTAGCGAATGCAGTGTTCTTCATTTTCAATGGGTTTACAGCTGAGAAACATACTTCCGTTCTTTGCTTGGGGCCTAATCAGTACTTGGAGCCAAGAACAGATTAAACTGTCCTGAAATCAACTTTTACATGAAGTGTAAGCAGTACTTTACAGCCTTGAGTGGTTTAACAAAAAACTGAGAAGATCGAAGCAAGTTCTCAAGCTTGTATACAATTAAGTATACAATTACGTATGCAATTAAAGTATAGCAGAGAAGTGCAACCGATGTGTTGTCTGAGAGAGTAGGCATAGGTAGTTGTACCTGGTAGGAAGTTTAACTTTCCTGCTTTTATGGAAGAAAGATACTGTGCAACAAACAATTAAATTAATGAGGCAACACCAAAATATCCTTGTGAGGATGTTGCCTCTAGTCCTTTAGAAGGCAGGAGGTTGACTTTCACCTCTCTAGTAGTTTTGTGAAGCTATAAACTGTACCTCATGAGAGGTACACAATTTATTTCAGTGACCCACACAATTCACCTGAGATTCTTTCTGCCTCAATGCAGATACACTGCAATGCAAATAGTATTAAACTGGGTTAGCCTAAAAATGTATTATGGTGCTGCAACTAAAGGCAGCTGTAACTTCCAAGTTATGTGCTGCTGCAAATACCTGTAGTGATCAACACTACTGAAGGTAGCAAAAATTCATCAGCTGGTTATCTACTGATACAAGTAGACTTTATCTTTAGGTGCTCGGTTGTATCACTGTGCACAGTGGACTTGAGTATTGCTGACTGTGGTGGGGACAGCTGGTCAGATGTTGGTTGGCTTACTAGATGTCCAGGGTGTTTTGTCAGGTATCTGGAAGAGCTGGAGGGAGAGGACTGTAACCTCTTGTGCCTATAAGCAGTGTGCCCCACATACCTCACCTTCCCAGGAGACAGAAGTGCCCAGGAGAGGGGCACTATGCATTTGCAGGGCTGACGAGGACTGCTGGAAGTTCTGCCGCAGGGCCTATATCCCAGCTGTGCTGCATGGTCTTCCTGGGCTGACTTGCTTTGTGCCATGGTGAGCCACATCAGGGGGCGCTGAGAAGGAGGGTGAGTTTAATAGTTATTAATAACAAAGGTGGTTCTCCAGGATGTGAGCCAGCCCAGTGACTCAGGAGGAGGTGAAGGACATGGAGTGGAGTCACAGAGCGGTGGTGCTTCTGGCTCTGCTTCTGAAGGTCTGCCTTCCATCAAGCCCTTCACTTGTGTGCCACTAGGTGATCCAAACTGTGTGTTTAAATGTTATAATCACAGACATTTGTGTTGTGCTATCTACACTAAATAGATTTTTTTTTTTTTTAATGGAGTAATCTGTAAAATTTCATTTAAATTTTTTTGAGCAATGGGTTTACATTTCTCTGCCTGGGTATCTATTTCACCATCTAATAGTACTGACTGACAGGAATTTCCCCTTGTATGCTGTTTCCTTCTCTTAATGCTGTTTTCTTCCTGTTACACTTCTGTGCATCACTTTACTTTTCTCTCTCTCTTATGGTTATCTCTTACGGTGATCTTCTCTTTAAATGCCTGATTCTTTTAGTATATGCTATATTGAATTAGTTGCCTTATCATTTTAACAGGATATATATATGCATACTGGCACACATGACAGTTGTAAATAATGCTTTCTCTGCTGTTGAGTAGGAAATGCAAAAAGGAAGATAACAAGAAGTATATTAGATAAAGGCAGGCAAACTACTGCACAGAATAATGTTTGCATAGAATCTATGTATATGCTGGATGATCTGCTCAAACAGCACTTAGAGCACTGGATGCTCAGGGAAGGAGTGCTGATATGCCCTCTTTGAAGCCTTAGAGTTCTGTAGACTGGTGGAGTTTTAGTCATAGGTGGAGGCTGTTTGAATTAACTTACATTCTGCAAGGAGACAATCTTTGCAAAATGCTAGTGGCAGAAACATGCCATAGCACCACTGCCTGATATGTAAGAGAGACCTGGCTCATATCAGCAGACCTCTTAACAAGAGCTTTCAGATACCCTGTTATCAGAAGGAAAGAGCAGTGTGTGCCCATGTTAAATCATGACATGTGTACAGACAGTATACTACTAGAGAAAGCAAACATCATCGCATGTGTGAGCAAGAGAGATGCGTGGAGAAGGATGTGTGAATATTGTGTTCCTTGTAGGGACACACACTGTGGACAACTGTGATCATGACAAGACCTCATTCATTGTAAAGCAGCAGTGGCAGAAAACAAGTTTGGCAGAGGGATGGAGCTGTACCGACAGTACATACGCTTCAACAGAGCCATTCTTTCTACAGGTTTTTATGCAAACTGCTTCTTCTCATTC